CCCCCCCCCCCCCCGCCCCCCCCCCCCCTTGGCCCCAGCCGCCTCCATACCCGCACACACCTGCGCACCAGTCCCCAGCTCCCACCCAGATCTGCCTGCGCAGGCATCTGCCTGCGCTCCCAGCTGCACACCCAGCCTTGCACGCACGGGTGCCCACCCAGCCGCGGGTGCACACCCAGCGCCGTGCACACACAGGTGCAGACACGGCCGCGGGTGCACACACGGGTGCGCGCCCAGCCACAGGTGCACACACGGGTGCACATGCACACGGGAGGTGCCCCGGGTCAGCGGGGGCCAGCGGGCATGGAGGCACCGTGCCATTGCCCCGGGGGTCTTGGTGCTGGCAGCCCTGGAGGGGTGGGGGTCCCCTTGGGGCACGGGAGTGATGGCCAGGGCAATGGGTGAGGTGCTGAGGCACAGGGACGGTCCCTCTGGGGGATGCGGGACACGGGGCATCGCCATCGGGACATCTCGATGAGGCACCCGCCCCGGGTCAAGGAGGACGTGATGTCCCCAGCACCATTGGGTCCCCACCGTTGGGCTGGCGCTGGGTGACAGCCCCATGAAATGGAACAGCAACCCCCCAAGGCTGGCAAGGGGACACCCTGCCCTGTGTCCCACGGGGAGGACGCTGCCCGGGGGACGTGCCACACACAGGAGGGACAGTGCCAGCCCTGCCAGCCCGGCTGAGCCCCTTCCCCTCCCGTCTCCACGCAGGGTGCCAGCCCTCCCGGTCAAGAACCTGAACGGCACCGGCCCCATCCATCCCGCCCTCGCAGGTAAGGGGGGGGTCCTGCCACCGGCCAGGTGTCACCGCTGGGTGACATCGTGGGGCAGGCGGAGGGAGGGATGGACGGCCATTGGGTGGACGGATGGACAGCACTTCTCCCCCGGCGCAGGGATGACGGGCATCCTCATGTGTGCCGCCGGGTTGCCTGTCTGCCTGACCCGCGCCCCCAAACCCATCCTGCACCCACCACCCGTCAGCAAGAGTGACATCAAACCCGTGCCTGGGGTCAACGGCATCTGCAGGAAAACCAAAAAGAAGCATCTCAAAAAGAGTAAGGAGCCACCGGTGTCCCTGCGTGCCCTCGGCCATGCCAGCTCCTGCCAGAAGGGAAACTGAGGCACGGGCACTGCTGCTGCCTGCGGGGGTGGGGCCCCCAAGGGGTTTGCCCGAGGGTTTTGGGGTGATGCCCACAGCTCCTCCGTGCCACATGCTGGCACCCCCTCCCCCTTGTGCTGTCCCCTTACTGGTGGCAGGGCATTGGGAGCACCATGCCAGGCTCTTGATGGCGTTCCCTCCTCTCCGCCTGTGGCAGGCAAGACTCCCGAGGACGTGGTGCGCCGCTACATCCAGAAGGTGAAGAACCCCCCAGATGAGGTGAGCGGGTATCCCCGGGCGCCGTGGCTCAGGCATGCACTCACCCCGGGGCCACTGGAGGTTCCTGGGACTTGGGCGTGGGGAGAGGTGCGGGCAGGGGACGGGCAGAGAGCCGGGGGTGACCTCCCCGTCCTGCCCGGGTGCTGATGCCCGTCAACCTGTGCCCAGCAGGATTGCACCATCTGCATGGAGCGGCTGGTCACCTCCTCCGGCTACGAGGGCATCCTCAGCCACAGGGGCATCAAGCCGGAGCTGGTGGGCAAGCTGGGCAAGTGCGGGCACATGTACCACCTCCTCTGCCTCCTGGCCATGTACAACAACGGCAACAAGGTGAGCCGGGACCCACCCCGGGGGGGGGGGACACCCCACAGGTGGGTGCTGCGGGGTGGGTGCCGTCCCTGATGCCCGCCCGGGTGCCCGCGCAGGATGGCAGCCTGCAGTGCCCCACCTGTAAGGCCATTTACGGGGAGAAGACGGGCACGCAGCCCCCCGGGAAGATGGAGTTTCACCTCATCCCCCACTCCCTCCCGGGTTACACCGACTCCAAAACCATCCGGATCGTCTACGACATCCCCACCGGCATCCAGGTGAGGTCCCTGCGCCCGCCGCCCCCGGGACCCCCGCCGGGCTGGGTGCCCCCCACCCTGTGCCACCTGCTCACCCCGTTGCCCTCCCACCCAGGGCCCGGAGCCCCACAC